ATTCCAAATTCTTTTGAACAGTTATAACTAGCGAATTTTTCATTTGATCTGTCAAAATGCGTTGTTGAGCGATCAGCCGACCTTTTCATCCCGGTTCTCGACATGCGAAAACGGACAGACGGCTCGTTGCTCGTAGAGAAGTTTCGACCTTTTCATACTTCTCAGCGATGCTCTTGAACCACACATCGAATCCAATTTAACGGAGCTTTGATTCTCAACTCGTGTTGTACTGTCTTCTGGTAATTGCATCTGACTGAAATTCGCATCATTCATAAAAAATTTACCTAAATACAAATGCAACGCTGTTTTTTTTTGATCGAATCAACAAGTCAGCAGCTTTCCAGAGACGTTGAAGAAGAATAAAATTCAAATCAGTGTTCTGTGTTGTTCGATCAAGATTGCTGCTATTAAAGGTAACATAAGATATTGTGAGATTAATCATCCGTTGATGCATCGTAATATTGCCCGAAAGGTTATGTTTCATTGATCTCGGCATCGATTGCAGTCGAAGTGCAATGGTTTCAGGAATTGCAATTGTAATCGAGCAAGAGTGGAACTGTGCTCAGCATGGTCACTTACAACGGACTACTTGCTTCGCTCATCGTTGACATAATTGTTGAATTTAAGAACGTCCTGCCAAACTTGAATAGTTCCTTAATATTGACACTTGATGGAAACGGGTCAGCGTTCTCGGTGTACCACGATATGTCACTCCTTCTCAAGATATGCGTCGAGCTTTTGGCAACCTGAGTGAATGTTGAAGAAGATTTATTATACAATTTGGCAATGAAGATTTATTTATCTATCTGATTATTATTTATTCTAGGATCAACTGAGTTCGTTATAAATCCCATTGATCTAATTGCTGATCATTATCGTTTCGTTGACTATAATTTCAAGTTCAACCTTACATGGACAACATGCTGACCTTTCTATTCGTAACGATTTCTGGGGTAAATACTGAAAGGTTGCTTCAAATCAAAAATTGAAATGTGGTCGAACTGATGAGAATCTAGTGTGATCGATCAACTGACATACCATTAACAAAAACACCGACAGAAACATTTTGTCAGGTNTTTCACTGATTTGCAGCAATAGAAATCGAGAAACTACAATTCATCTGAAATCAGTAAACGTTTTCATTGATCAAATGGATGCATGATGAGGTAATAGCGTGGACACTCTTTCAATGCGTGCAGCTGAACTCCTAAAACAAGCATCAGACAGTCAACAATAAGCATCCATTAATGAATTTCTAATTGAGATGCCCACTATCGATGACACTCCACTCATCCCCTCCTTTTGTTCTTACGATAAATAATTGTTACAAAAAGTTTCATATGGGTATTCCCCCAGATCTATCATCATTAATCACCAGCACATCACAGATCCGATAGCCGTCACGTGGCTTGACAAACGATGTAAAGAACGAGTTAACGAACGCTTCTTGCCTAAAACAAGCATCAGACAGTCAAGAATAACCAAACATTAATGAATTTCTAATCGAGATGACTACTATCGACCACAATCATCTTGTATTGTCACTCACTCATCTTGTCCTTATTGGTCTTACTATAGATATTCGTCATTATAATTGTTAATATGCGTATTTCGCTATATATAGCATGTTCATTATTATTAGTATAAAAGTTATTATTATCATTATTGCTAGTTAGTATGAATATTATTTCCTATTATTAACATTATTATTATTGTTGTTATTACTGCTGCTATTATTACCAGTTACTAGTATTATTGCAGTTCGTATGAACAAGACCATTGTCTACAACAATGAATTAATCGAAAAGAGTTTTATTAATGAGTGAAAATGCGCACTGATTCCCACCACATCATTGATGTTTGCTTTCCATTTTGAGAATTTCGCTTTGCAAATTGATCAGCAATTGGACACTTTGTTTTGCATTAGTGCATTGTGGAGAATGGGGAATGTCAGGGATGTCAGAATTTTGCAGTTGGAGACCACGACATAAAGCCAGTCGACTCGAACGAAGTTGGGGATGGGAGGGGAACCGACGACGGGTTCGCCGAAAATTCCGGATCCTCGCAACATAGTCTGCATAATTTATTTGATGTTGACGTTATGGGATAGCAAACCACAACTTATTTTGTTTAATGATAATTCAGTTAAGAAACACCTCAGTTGGTGACTCTTAATCAGAGGAGGAAGCAGTCAACATCGGATGACTAAATGGATTTGCTTTCGCCCTGTCCTTTTTCATCACGTCGCTCGCTAAAGAAGAGATTGTTCTCTGATCTGTGCAATAGGTCAAAAAGTGACGTGCATAATCAAGGTGACTGACTGACATGTATATGAACTAAATAAGTTACGATCAAATCATAGTGATGTGTTACTAATCATCTCAAGTAATTCAAAAAAACACAAATGTTCGAAAACGTACTGATTGCGAGGTAAGTTCCAAATTCGCGACCTAATAATGAGAAAACAACTTACCATTTTCAAACATATTAGTTACTAACTGTACTGAAAGCACATAAAATTCCTGATCAATTATTGCCTGATGTCATGATGCAATTTTAACGATTATGCGCATCGTTGATAACTGCTGGTG